GTCATGACAATTTTCTATGTTCACATGTCATAAAGAGCTATGATTTATTTTTGTTTCTCACATTCTGGCAGGTGATTAGTTTAGAATTGTCAACTGGAATTCCAATGCTCTATATTTTCAAAGAAGGAAAGTTCATTAGGAGGGGAAGTCCAGTAGGACCAACTGAAGCTGGGGTTTATGCATACACCAGGGTAAGCATCTATATCCCCTTTCTACATCACTCCATTTTGCTAATATTATTATTCCTTAAGCATTCTAGAAATTTTTACTCAAGATTTTATTATCTGTTGCTTTGGAAAGATGAAATAGCACTTAGCCACAAGAAACGGATGTAAAGAATACATTTCAGAGTAGTTTCACTATGGACAGTTATGATTTAAAACTACTAGCTTATCTCTTCTGAATTGATTATTATATAGTGGTATTGGTAATACCACTGTGTTTCCATATCAAGCATCTTTTCTTTATCACCAAAATATTTATTTCCACTGTTCTTTAACTAAAAAAATTTCAAAGTTTAATTCGTTTAGAAGGTTGATACACAAAAATTTTCAATGATGCGTATACAAACTTTGTTTGGGACCAGATATTATGTTGGTAACATTATGTTCGGTTCTTCATTTCCTCAAATCTTATTTACCAAATCTCCAAAAACTCATAATATTATTACCCCGTTACAGCGTTTGGCTCTTTACCGGCAGAGGTTGGATGATATGCTTCAATAATGTTTTTCTAAGGTTAGAAAATAGATGTACACCTACTATTCTTCTGTTTGTTTGTTTCTTACTATGCTTTTTTTGCTTGTTATTATCATTTAATTATCTTCTTTTCAGGAATATACATCACACATTAATCAGCTGGATATTAGAGTTACATGGTAAAAATGATTTTTTCAAAGTTAAGAATTATATATATCATAAAAAATATGTTGCAGTTATATTGCATGGATATCTAAGTACATGTTTTGAGTTTTTAAGACAGTTTCGTGCTAGTGGATTAGAATCTATGCTCCGCTCTGTTGTAAGTAGTTTGCAACGTGAATTTTACTCGACATCCTGAATGGTTTCAGGTTTAAATATGTCTCCATAAATTGCTGGATTTTTATTTTATCCTTAATAATTTTTCGTAAAATTGATGGCAACCTCCCTAACTAGCCTTGGCTAATAGCTTATAAGAAGATGGATGTTACGAAAGTGGGCCTAAGCCCATGTCATAGAGTTTTGGTCAACTTGGGTCAACAATAGGCACACATGATGAATTGACCACATGGATCAATGTTTTATCTTTACTTTGGTAAGGAAGAGAAAAGGACGTCCAAAAAGTCATTAGTGTAGAAAGGTTTAATAGGTTCGGAGGTCCCTATATTTGCGGGTTCGTTTCAGTTGGGTCCTCCAATTTTTAAAGTGATCAATTGGGTCCCTAATTTGGTAAATGTGATTCAATAATAGGATCTCCGTTAAATGTAGTTAACGTACGTTAACTTTGTTATGAAGTGGAAGCTGAGGCATCCAGGTGGCATCCTTCGTGGATTTTTATCATTTTTATTTTCCCTTCCATTCACACAGTTAACATCAAAGTAATGACCCTGCTGCTTCAAAATGTAGCTCTCAGAACGCCACTCCCACACCAGCAGCTGCCCCAATTTGGCGCAGCCAAATGTCAGCCAGTTCCCAAGCTCGTTAAACACAGCGGTGGTAATTTTCTCCTTTGAAATAGATAGCAAATGAATGCACACAAAATCTGGCATCTGATACAACCCAAACACACCATTAGAAAATCCAACAAACATCACATCTGATACAACCCCTATGATAATCACATGCTGTCACTTTTGCCCATCCCTGCATAAACCCATCCTTCCTCAATAACTCCCACTTTCCCTTACTCAGGTAACCCTCATCACCATCCTCAACATCAATTTTCTTCCTCTTCTTCACACCATCATTCTCAACAACCTCCAAATTCCTTTCCGCGTCCCTCTCCGGCGTCCCTGGCGAGGGCGGCTCCGAACCCTCAGCCTCACCACCACTATCAGAAGTAAAACCCCAGCTAAATAACTAACAATCCCTAGTAATCGTATAAGCCTTACAAACTCTACTAGTTTTCGAATTAACACTGAAGAACGAACCTACAACCGAATCCCTGTGCCCTAGGAGCAAAAAGGGTTTTTTCTTTCCACCACTATTCAATTTCTTCAAGCACAAGATTCTCGCGGTTAAATCCTTGGACCCGACGATGAGGTACTTGGAGTCAGGGCTCCAATCGAGGGTGGTTACTTTCGCGTCGAACTCGGCGAAGGTGCGTACCAGCTCGAAGGGGAAGTACTCGCGGCGGAAGGCCGGAGAGCGCCAGATCTGGACAAGCTTTCAGGTGGCGACGGCGATGTTAACTTCATGGTTCTTGGTTGCTTCTCTTGAACATTATTTGTCACCAAAACCAGGAAATTCTTGAACACCGTAGGGTTCTTGGTTGCTTCTCTTGCCTTGGTGGTGATTCCCAGTTTCAGAACATTAATGAGAAACATTGGTTAATAATTTCTAAAAATGATAAAAATCCACGAAGGATGCCACCTGGATGCCTCAGCTTCTACTTCATAACAAAGTTAACGTACGTTAACTACATTTAACGGAGATCCTATTATTGAATCACATTTACCAAATTAGGGACCCAATTGATCACTTTAAAAATTGGAGGACCCAACTGAAACGAACCCGCAATTATAGGGACCTCCGAACCTATTAAACCGTGTAGAAATCACTTTTTATGACAGATAAAAATGACCTAATGATGGATGGACTCACATCATAGTTCTAACACTCATAATAATTTTGCTCTTTTTATAATGCAGTAGAAAAGTACGTCATAATAAATTCAGCATACTATGACGTACTTTCAATCATATGTCCAGTTTATTATGATATAATTTCACTTATCAATGACAAATTTATTATGTAATTGGATTTACCTATCATAAGATATAGACTTTTATAACATAGATATGTTTACCTATCATAATATCTTCTATGTATTATGACATACATTGTCATAATACATGTTTTTCATAATTAACCTATGATGACATACATTGTCATGTACCTCATAAAATCTTGTTTTTTAAAACATCGTAGTTATATTTGACATTCAATCTACAATCAATTTTCTATATTACCATCTCATATAATCAATTTATAATCAATATACTCTTAAATGAACAAATTCAATTGAACTAACAAAATTGAATTCATTTCAAATATTAAATTGTCCTAATAATATTTAATGCATTATTTGTACTGAAAACTATATATTGAATACATATATTACATTAACTTATAAATACTACTAAATTGGAGCAAAATTTCTACAATTTACTAATACTTAAAATAAAAGAAGCTCACTTAGTTTTAATGTCTTGATCTTATTGGAGATGAATCATTAAAAATCTACAAATAAAATACTGAAGTTAAAATAATATTGTAATGAACAATTAAATAAGTATTTGGTGAGCTTTTTATTACATATAATGTATGTAAAAATAAAAATAATGGTGTGCATGTGTTTCATTACGTAATACCCAACTCATAACAACCCAATTAATGTCAACACTGCTAATTAAATACAAATAATCAAGACTCATTCAAACCAAAGACACACAAAATCATATTATACTCTCTAGCTAGCCTTACACCGTGTAACTTTGATCAATTTTGCTAAAACAACAAAAAAGCAAATTCCACAAAATCAACAAAACAATCAATTCTTTATAAAAATAGCAATAATAAAATATAAAACAAAGGTCATCTTCCTTTAGATTAGGTGTTATTATTTTTATCTTCGATAAATAGCATAATATTTCTTGAATAATCAATATCAAATCCTGTGAAATACTTTAAAAGAAATATAGGTAAATTAAATATTACAACCAGATTTCAATAAGTGTGCCACCGTTCCAAAACTAGAGCAAAAGAAGGTATCAATACTACAACAACCAGATTTCAAATAAGATCTTTTTACTTTAAACAACCCGATTTGAGAATTTGATAAATAGGTTACATTTCCTTTTAATAGAATATTATAATTACCAACACCTATAACTTATTCACTATCAATAATATCCGGTTATGAGAAAGCTTAATTGTTCTAATCATATATAAAAACAAGTTGTGAATACTGAATTTTAATTGGATGAAGCCATGAGAAACTCATGAACCAGGATTCTACCTAGTCTATTTAATTATAACAGTATAATAAACAATAATAGAATCATCGGTATCTTTAGTTAACTGAAATCTTCGACATTTTATTTTTTTAATCATGAATTTATTTTAAAAAATAAAAATCATCTCTTTAATAAAGATTGAAATAATATTTCTTTTATCATTCATTTAAGAGTTCAAAACTTTTACAATAAAATATTGACATTATCAACCAAACACAAATCAGGTTACAAAAGGCATTTAAGAAGCGATGTTGGGTATGAAAATTCCTTTTTCATCTACTGGAATCAAATTTTCACGAAATTATAATTGGTTGGAGTCCTCTTTTTTATAAATAATACTATACATATGTCTGATATGACTAAGAAATTTTTAAAAATGTGAGGCAAATTAATTTTAAAAATGTTCATATCAAACATAAAAATAAGAATTTGACTAAACACTCCCTCAGCTTGTCAAATTCATAAATTCAAAATAAAACAGATTCTCAAATTAACTATAAAACTCAACCAGACTATACAATTAAGGCTTAATACCTCTTTTTGTCCCTCTTTATAAGGAAAATGTTCAAGTTCGTCCTACCTTTTTTAAAAAGTTCAATGTGGTCCCAAGTTGTGAAAAAAGTGTCCAATTAAATCCTTTTTGGTCACGGCGTTAAATATTTAACGATCCAACTGACAGCGTGGACTGATCTGTACAACGTGGCTGTTTACCTTCATAACGTGGTAGTAATAGTGTTTTTCATTAAATTTCACGTGGCAGTGGCAGTGATTAAAAAATTCTGAGTTAGGGTTTAGGTATTCGAAATTCCTCTTGCTGCTGCTGCTGTTCTTCTCTTCGACCAACCAGTTCAATGTTTGCTTTTCCCTCATTAATCACTATGGCCTTAGAATTGTAGTGTGGCAGAAGAAGGCTTCCCTAAAGTTTTTCAAAGACAACCATTATTTAATTATGATCTCTTATAATTATGACGTTATAGTGAATAATAGAATTCAATTACTGAGATTGTCCACACGATTTTTCCATGTATTACCTCTTTGATATCTACAGAACTGAGGAACACGTCCAAGTCCCTAAGCTGCGGGTTTTTCTTCGGTGTGATCTCGTACAACTTTCCAAATTTGTTGGCGTAGATGGGTTTTTGGTTTCTCAGGTTTAATGGTTCATCTTCGGAAGAAAGGGCTTTCCTTGAACTAGATTTGGCATGTTTGGTCAGTTCCCGAATCTGTTTGCTTTTAAGTTCCACAATCACTCCCTCTTGCTGACTCTCCTCGCCTTTCTCTTTGCTGTCCTTCCGCTCCAAATAGAACCCTGTTTATCTCCTTGATGTCGCTCTATAAAAATCATGCAAATATAGACAATGATATCATTAAAGTAATGTGAAATTTAGACAAACTAGTAGTAGCTAAATGGCAGCGCAATTTGTATTTCTTGTTCCTCCAAAATGCTTATCCCCAAATCGCAATTTCGAATACCCAAACCCTAACTCAGAATTTTTTAATCACTACCACTGCCACGTGAAATTTAATGAAAAACACTGTCACTGCCACGTTATGAAGGTAAACAGCCACGTTGCACAGATCAGTCCACGCTGTCAGCTGGATCGTTAAATATTTAACGCCGTGACCAAAAAGGATTTAATTGGACACTTTTTTCACAACTTGGGACCACATTGAACTTTTTAAAAAAGGTAGGACGAACTTGAACATTTCCCTTATAAAGAGGGACAAAAAGAGGTATTAAGCCTACAATTAATTAATACTAAGAAGTTAAGTGCTTGTATATTTTCTCTTGAATTAGGTAAGCTAGCAGGTTTATTCATCTAGCTATCAGACGTTGCGCTGTCGGAAAAATTGCATTTCAGATAAACAAAAAACCAAAACCAGGACTTATTTTACTATTTAAAATGTCAATAACAAATAAGATAAAAAAGTTGTTCCAATCAATAATAATTCCACCATTGTTGAGAATTTGAGTTATTGTCTTCAGTTGATATAATATAGCGAAAAGTATAAAACTAAAGAATTACATAATATAAAACTATCAATTTCCCCATGGCATGAAGAAGTGAAATAGAGAGGGAGTACATAATCAAACTTTTAACTAAAGCAAGAGTTTAAAAGAGTTGTCAATTATGAAACCCAACAAAACTAAATCAAAGTCTTCAAAACACCAAAGGAAAAATTTAAAGTTTGAGTATTCACCTTTCAAGGAGCAAAGCTATTGTACAAGGAAAAAGGGAACTTATGGAGATGGTGCAAGACATGCCTTAGTCTGGCTATGAACTCTTTTTTCAAGACATGGTGGTTCATGAGAAGCATGTCCTGGAACCAGAACAATTTGTAGGGAGGTTCAACATCCACATAGATCTCCTCACTAGTAAGATATTGTCCTTTTTGGGTCAAGCCCTCACGAAGTTGCTTTTGGTATCACTACAAAAGGCCTCTTACCAATGGAGGTATCTTATGTGTATATAAACTCATGTTCATCTTTTGTTTTATCTGATGTGGAACTTTTTTTGTACCTAACAATCCATGAATTTGTGCTTAAAATTGATCATGAAAGTCTCAAAAAGTTGTTGGGAAAAAGGTTGCAATCACAAAATGGTTACCTAAATTTTTGGGTTTTGATTTCACGATACAATACAAATCAGGCTTAGTTAAAAGTTTGTAATCAATGGTTGCGGAAGGTAGTTGTTTGCATTCAAATCGATGATCAACTTAAAGCATTATATGATCAATATGTGAGAAGTAAGGGGCACTCTCCAGAATATGCAATTAAAGATGGTCTTTTATTCTGGAAAGAGCGTGCTAAATAAGTTTCATTCCTCCAAAGTAGGTGGGCATGCCAGAGTATCAAAGACTATCGCTAGAATAGATTCTCAATTTTTCTAGCCGAGTATGCGACAAAGCATTCGACGATTTGTACATGAGTGTCAAATTTGACAATAAGCAAAGGTGGAACTAACATTACAAGTAGGTTTACTTCAGCCATTACCAATACCGTAGCATGTGTGGGACAATGTTCCGATGGATTTTATCACAAACTTGCCACCTTCACATGGTTATTCTACTATCATCGTAGTAGTAGACCGATTATCAAAATTTGCGCATTTTATTTCCTTAAAAGTTGAGTATACAAGCAAGATTGTTGGCGAGTGTTTTATTCATAACATTGTAAAGTTGTATGGTGTTCCACGATCCATTGTTTCTGATTGTGACAAAGTTTTCGTTAGTTGTTTTTGGAAACACTTGTTCAAAGCTCAAGGAATAACACTTCCTATGATCTCTTCATATCACCCACATTTTGATTGACAAACAGGGGCCCAAAATAAGACTCTAGAGATGTATCTACATTGTTTTGTGTTTGATAACCCAAAAGGTTGGTTTGTCATATTGCCATGGGCTTAGTATTGGTATAATTCATCTCTTCATCAAAGCATTGGACTGTCTCCATTCAAAGCTTTGTAGGGAAAGGATCCACCTATTGTCATGCGTTATGAAATCAGTTCCATAGATCTGGTTTCAGTTCAAGAACTGCTATGTGAACGTGATGCGATTTTTCAACTATTGAAATTGAATAAGATGAACGCACAACTTGATAAAATATTAAGGGACATATAGTTCGAAGTTGGAGATTTTGTGTTGGTCAAACTACAACCTTATAGACAACACTTAATAGCTTTTAGGAAAGCACAAAAGTTGAGCATGCACTATTTTAGACCCTTTGAAATTTTGGGAAAAATTGGAAAAGTGACTTATAAATTGAAATTACCGGATACTGCTAGGATTAATCCGTGATGAATCATTATTTTTTCAATATTCACTTAATTTTCCCTACCGAATTTAATTAGTGAATTGTGCTTAACTATCCATTATTTTATCTGTTTTGCTATTTGGGTTTATTTTAACTAATAATTCATATTTTAATTAATTTGAACCTTTTGAGCTTAATTATTTCCCATTATTATTTTCAGGACAATTTTGGGATTATATTTTGGGATGTAAAGAGAGTTGCCATGTCATTTAATATTGTCCACATCAACATTTGTTTTTATTTTCTTTTATAATTTGGTTTTTATTAATTGTGGAACAGGCTTGGACTTTGGGCCCAATTTTAGAATTAGGGAGCCCATTTTAAAGAGGCATATTTTCGGCCTAAGGTTTGGTACCCAACAGAGAGACAAAATTTCGAATTACACTCTCTCTCGTATTTTATTATGTACGGACGTGAACATATGTTGGATTGGAGTTTTATTGTTAATTCTTTATTTTCCCCCATTTTTGTGTGATAATAATCTATTTTTAGGCTATTTTAGTTTTTAATTCATTAGAAATAGTATAGTTTAGAGTAATTAGTATAAAAATAGGGTTTTTATAAAAATAGTGTTAATTTTTTAGTTAAATAAAATAGGTTTTTTAAATAAATAAGTATTTTCCCTTTTTAGTAAAAATATTTAGAAAAATAAATAAAACTTCGTTTTGCTTTTATAGGCTTTTAATCTTTGTTTTTGTTGTTTGATTCTTCATTTCTTTCTTTTGGCAGGATTAGTCCTTGGAAAAATGGGCCAGAATAAACTAAATAAAAGTTGTTTGGATTTTACTCCCTACACCACTCCACTTTGCTCCCTGCACCACCACATTTTTTTAAAATTCCAAAACTATCCTTTATATTTTAAAATATCCTACACCACCACTCCTTTTCTTCAACGGATGTCAACATCCGTTGAAGAAAAAATTCTTCCACAGACATGCTACATCCGTTAACGGATGTGACGACATCCGTTGCCTTTTTGTTTTTTAGTTTTTAGTTTTTTTATTTTTTCTGTTTTAAATTAATATATAAATATTATTTAATTATTTTAAAATTATAATTTAATTATTTATAAATTAATTTTATTTTATTTAATAAAATAATTATTATTAATTTTAATTTATGTATTATTATTTAAATAATAATTAAAAAATTTATTATAATTATATTAAAACGGATGTACCACATCCGTAACGGATGTGGCGACATCCGTTGCTTCTTTTGTTTTCTAATTTAGTTTTTTTATTTTTTTGTTTTAAATTAATATATAAATATAATTTAATTATTTTAAAATTATTACTTAATTATTTATAAATTAATTTTATTTTATTTAATAAAATAATTATTATTACTTTTAATTTATGTATTATTATTTAAATAATAATTAAAAAATTTGTTATAAACATATTAAAACGGATGTGCCACATCCGGATGTGGCGACATCCTTTGCTTTTTTTGTTTTTTAGTTTTTAGTTTTTAATTTTTTATATTTTAAATTAATATATAAATATTATTTAATTTTTTAAAAATTATTATTTAATTATTTATAAATTAATTTTATTTTATTTAATAAAATAATAATAATTATTTTAATTTATATATTATTATTTAAATAATAAATAAAAAACTTTTTAAAAATATATTAAACGGATGTGGCACATCCGTTAACGGATGTGGCCACATCCGTTGAAGTTTTTTTTTTAAATAAAAATAATAAATTAAAATATAAAATATGTAAATGGATGTTACGGATGTCAACATTCGTTGAAGGTGAAACGGATGTTGACATCCGTTTTATAGAAGGGCAAATAAGGTATGGGGAGGTGCAGGGAGCGGTTGGCGGTGGTGGAGGAAGCAACTCTCAAGTTGTTTGGGCTGAGTTTCAAGTGTTGCATTTTAAAAGCTGAAGCTGCTGAAGAGACCAGGCAAAATCATGAACAGGGCTAGCAAAGATCATTTTTGGGCTACAAATGAAAGCAATCTGGGCTAGTTGGTTAAATTACACCATTTAGCCATTGCTAGAGTTGGGCTGAAGCTGCGTGTTTTGAGTAAAATTTAAATGCAGCGACGACGTTTTGAGATGGGCAGCTACTGCAGCTTTCTAGGGGGTCCTTGTTCGTGAAACTCATTTGGGAGAAAAGAACACTCTCAAGCATTTTGGAGAGAAGAAAACAACCCTCCTCTAGGGTTCGTGAGAGAAGAGAAAAGATAAAGCTTGTGCTCAAGCCACTAATCTTGCCCGGAGAAGAAGCTGCCCGGAGAAGAAGCTGATCGAAGAGAAGATGATCGGAGGGTTGTGGAGAAGATTAGAAGGAGATCGTGAAGAGAGGACGTTGGATCAAAAGAGCGCGAAGCGTTGACAGTTAGTCCTTTTCACTTTTCCTTTTCGCTCTTTCATTTTTCTTCTTCCTTCTTGGACCCTATAAAAGGGCATGTATATAGACATTGGGAGAGGGTAACGGGTGGTGGGTGACAAGCACCATTCTTAGCTCTAGGAG